TGAGATGCCAAATAATCAATGGTTGAAATTTGATTATTTTTAAAAACACCTAAAAGTATTTGGATTCTTTTTTCCCCTTAGAACCTGAAGGCAAATAAATTACTCTGTCATAGTTTTCATTCTAATTCTGCATGGTCATAGTGATTATATGTTTTCTTCCTCATTTGGGGGCATAAGGAAGAGGTATCTTTAACTTATATTTGCTAAGCATTTACCATATTCCAGTGCTCTCCCAAGCCCTTTAAATGAATCAGTCAGGATTTCAGTAGGAATCACAAATCCACTTGAATAATCCCAGGAAATTTTGTGGAGGGGGCTGTGAGGACTGGTTGAAAGCGACCCCCAAGGAGTGTGGAGGCTGCCTGAGTCTGGCAGTGGCAGGGAGCTCTGGGGTAAGAATTACCCTAGAGCCAGAGGCTTGCTGGAGGAGTACCCATTCAGCAGGAACCCTAGTGGAATAAACAACCACTGCTGGGACCTTAACAATGGAAGAGGAAACATCAAATGAAATACCCAAGACTTCTTCCTGCCTTCAGACCTGCTACTGGCACTTTCTACTAGCTGAGTCCAACCAGAATCCAGAGAGCCATCTGTACTAACCAGCCCCCTGGATATGCAGCAAGACAGAGAAAGCTGCTAGGGGGCACACAGAGCAGGACTGGCAGAATCCAGCAAGACAGTTTTAGTGGGACAACATCAATCTGACTCAGACTGGCTTAAAACTGAGGCCATGTGTTGACTCACTTGAATGGAAGCCCAGAGGAAGGTAGGCTTCACACTTGGTCAAACCGGAGACTCACACTAAAAAAACAGGTTATTTTTCCCCTTTCGCTCACTGTTCAAAGAGTTGGCTTCATCCTTGGCCAGTTGTTCTAGATCACAGGAAAGACTGGCAGCAATGGGGCCACAGGTTTCCTCAGTCACATGCAGCAGGAGAGTGGTATCTTTCCATGGCCCTCTCAACTGCACAAAGAATCTCCTTTCTCTGACCATCCCAGATGCTCAATGGGATGCAATAAATGCCTGTTGAGAAATTATATTGTTCTACTAATCTAATACAAAGACCACCCTAGTGAATTGAATCCACAAATGCTACCTTTATATTTGTAATTATTGTCATTATTACATAGTGTATTTTTTTTTTAAATGGCTGCTCTTATTTTCTTTATTTTCACAGGCTGATGGCTGGTGGCAAGTTATAAAGAGCCTTGCTCCTTTGAAAATGGACAGAACATGTCTCAGGAAAACAGCCAGTTGAAATGAATTTTAAATATTCTATTTACTTTTTATTTGTATCTTCAGTTTGTGTTGTTTATTATTGTTTTTAATAATAATAATTTTATTATAGTCTATAATTGGGGGAAAAAACACCTGAGTAGGTATCAACAATAAGAAAGGAATTTGAATAAACTTTCACATAAGTTTTGTCACCTGGATTATTAGTTAAGTAAAAAAGTGGGAAGGAGTTTAGATCTTAGGGACTGAATTAATAAAGCTACTATTTTCATATACATATTGTGTGCCAAGAATTTGAAATATGTTATTTTATTTGATCCTTTCAATAATCTGTGAGACACATAAGATCCTTATTTCCCAGATGTGGAAAGAAGCCAAAAGAAGTTAAATAATTTAACCTAAATTTAGAGTTAGGAATTGGTGGAGCTTGGATTTGAACCAAGCTTTACTCAGATTTAAAGTTGGTGCTCTTAATGATCATTTTTGTCACTTTGCATTGGTGACCTCACTCAATGATATAAGATTTCATATTGCACTGCACTTTGCTATGATTCTGAGATGTCAAGGCCATTTTCCTGCAGGAACACAGAAGGCCGAGTCCCAGCGAATGTTGCGGTTACCATCATGCTTTCTGTGGAGTTGAATTTTACTATGTTTCTTTGCTCCTTTATAAAGTGTCAATGACATGAATAAATTTTTACATTATTAAAACAAACAGATTTACCCCATAGTTAGAATAATGAATAGAGGTGGAAAAGTAAATTCCTGACATTCTTTAAGCCCTGAAAAAAGTATTTATGCTCAATAAAATATAAAGCACCAGAAGAGGCTGTCAATATCAGTGACAGCACTGCAGACCCCGGGAAGACATTAGTGATGAACACACCCCTCATTCTGTGTCCTTCTAAGCAACAGCATCTGTGAATGCTCTCAGGTGAATTTTGGTGCATGAACGTAGCATCCATTACCATCTTGCAAATGCTCCTTCAACTCCATGATAGCTTTACTAAAGACTGCATTAAATTCCAAATAGTAGAAATCAACATTGAGTCAATATTCCATAGAAAATGGAACTTCCTACATTCACTAGGAGAATCACTTACAAAAACCAATAAAAAATGTCTCCAAATTTCTGCATTTTGTGACTGTCAGCCAACTAGCTTCTTTTCCAGGATCTTTTAAAATTTTACTTCACAATGTAAATCCGAAAGCCAAGGTAAAGCAGAGAATTCAGACAAAAGTTGAAATTGTATATCTTTTTCTAGTGTTTTGAGTGAGGGAAGGCAGTGACTATGTATTACACAGAAATAGTTCACCTATGGATAAGAGCCAATTCAAACAATTGACAATGTTCACAATTGATTTTTTCTTCTGACTTAATTGTTGTGCTTGACACATGCTTACATCCAATTTGCTCATGTTATATGTGCTACATTTTCAAAAGTCTCCAAAGGGATCATTCATACCCTCTTTCTTCCCCAGTCTTCTTTGATACTAAATGAGTTTGGGGAAAATGTCCCTTATTGAATTAAAACACAAGACAATTTTATAAATGTATCTTCTTTACCGAACCAAGGTTGTCTGACCAATAAATCTCTCAAGCCAACTCAGGCTTGGGATTTCCACTTTGATACTAAAAATTTTAAAGGTGTGTTTTGAAATTCTGAGGTCAACATGAATTTCAAGTACTTTCCTGTCTTTTCAAAATGTGTTTTATAATTATTTTTGCATATATTAAATGACTTTGTTTATGTAAACTGTCAATAATATCATGTAATAAAATACATTTATTTTTAAAACAAAGCAAACACTTCTACTTGGAAAATTTCTATTGATAGCATGGAATATTAATAGGAATAAACTTGAACATTACTGTTTTAAAAACTTTATACTTTAGAGAACTATTCATTAATGCATTTATATAGCGAAGTTAGACAATGGGTTTTCTTTAGAAGTGAGCATTATTTGAAATGTGTTGGGCACCCATGGGACTGTCTGCCCAATACCCAGACCCCATCTTTGAACTCCACCTCCAGTTGTATTTGGTCAGTCTAAGGTGGGCACTCAGTCAAATCAGAACAATTAGTCATTCCCATGGGAGTTAGGAACTCAATATCAGTCTGTTTTGGGTCCTTGGAGTAAAAACAATGTGCATTCTGAAGCTTCGACAGTTATGTTTTGCTTGAACAAGAAAAACAAAGGACACTGGTCAGCAAAGAGAAGAATAAATCAATAAAGAACAGAGCTGAGATATAATTTTCCTGACAGAGTTAGATGCTGGTTGTACATACTGTGGAATTTTAGCCTCACTCTATCTCTGGGCTCCATGAGGCATGTTAGTATCTTTGTAATAAATTCCTCATTTCCCTTAAGTTAGGTCTGTTTAGGTTTCAGTAACCTCACCAACTCAGGAGCTCTGGAGGAAGATTGCAGAGAAGTTTTCTTTAAAGCAGTAATTGTGTCCTCTGTGAAACAGAATTTTGAATCATCATTTTTAAGGAGTACCTGCTACTGTATTAGGAATATTTCCAGTAAAAACTCTGCATTTTTCTCCATCCAGACATTCAGAAGAAGGAGCAGGGAATTGAGTGAGCATTAATTGGGCACCACTGTATTACAGGTGTGCCACCCACTGTGAGGAATGCTAAAGAGGAACAGGAAAGGATTTTTGAGAGCCTTTGAACTGATAATTTTAATATAAACATAGTGCTAGAATGGTTTATTTTTAGTGTCAACTTGACTGAATTAAGGAATACCTGGAAACTTGGCAAAGTATTATTTTATATTTCCAGAGGAGTCTGAGTGACTAGTTGGGAGTAGACTAGTGGTTGGGAACCATACCATTACTTGGCCAGGGGCCCACAGAGAGCGAATACAGAAGGTGAGCTGGGGATATAGACTTTTTGTTTTCTTTTCTTGCTGCCTTGGATGTCAGAACTCCAGGCTGCCTAATCTTTAGACTCCAGGACATACATCAGTGGCCTCCAGGCCTCAGCCTTAGACTGGGAGACACACCACTGGTTTCTCTGGTTCTAAGGCCTTTGTCTTGGGTTGGCCATTCTACTGGCACTCCAGGATCTCCAGCCTGCATGTGGCTTGCTGTGAACTTTCAGACACAACTACTGCATGAGCCAATTCCCCTAGTAAATACCCTCTCATACATCTGTGTACACACCCTGCCAGTTCTGTGTCTTCAGAGAACCCTGACTAATACAGGTGCTCTGAAAGAAGCTGGAAGCATTATGGAAACAGACAGCAAGATACTGTGGCCAGCTTGGAAAGAATCCAGAAAGTTCCTGGAGGAAATGACATCTAAGTTGATGATTGGCTCTGGGAAATCATCCTCTCTGCCCTAAATTCTGGGAAACCTCAAATATTTCTTGCATTCTTGTCAGATTCTACAGAATTCCTTTAAAAGCAGTAGAGGAACCAGTGGGGGGAGAGCAGTAATCTAGAGCTTCACTCCTTGTTCCAGGCTGCCCTGGGCACCGCAGGCGAGAGTATGTGGACATGTGAGTTGTAAGATGAGATGTTGCCGGTTTGAATGATCTTATATGATTAAGTGATGGCCTTTGTTAGAAGAAAGATTTTCATTTCTTTCCCACAGTAAATTATGTAGGCCTTTCACATTTTGTAACCTATTTCATTGACCATCATGTAATAGAGATTAAAATTCTGAGTCAAGTAACTGCTGTTCAGATAAGATCTGCATTGTGCAAAATTTTGTGAAGAAAATCAAGGACATATTTCAGTGCCCATGGCTTCAAGATCAAACTATGACTTAAAAAGTTCTTCTTATTATTATATTCTGCATCTCGTTATTAAAACAGCCATATCATTTCATTCATTCCTCCAAAATTATTTATTCTGTACCAAGTACCTTAGGGCTGGGACTATACCATTTACCTTAAACAGTTAAAAAGAAAAACAGCTCTCTGACCTCATCAAGCTTATCTTTCAGTGGATCCAATCTTTCATGGCATGAATTTAAAACAAGTCTTCTCCAAGAAGTTCTGTTACCCAAAGGACATGGGTACGGACTTTTAACCTAAAGAATTATCCTGGAGCATGAAACTCAAGATGAGCTCTCACAGAAGAATATGGTGGGATTTGCAGATTTCCCTTATCCTGAGTAATCTACATATTTTAATAATGCATATTAAGAGCAGAAAAATATAGTCACGCTTTTTGGATGCAACAATGTCTGTTTACATATTTTTTTCTATGCTTGATGAATATTGGCACTGCCATTGGGCATCTGCTCTTCTTCAATGAATCCTCTATGCTTCCAAGCATTTTTTTCTGCAAAGGAACCTGTTTGCATGTGATCATCCTTGGCAGCCAAGCATTGATGTAAGAACATGATGTGCGAATAGTTCACTCTTGCCTATTTACAAGTGTTACTGGAGCCTAGGAATGTGTATCATAATAACATCTTGTTGGCACTTCTGTAAGCTCCACATTCTTCCCCAGGACCTGTCAGCTCTTGGTGGTTGGAGTAGTCTGAAATTCTTTATTAGGAAACAATATATGCTACAGAATTCCAAAAACTGTATCAGTAATTATTTTCAAAAGGAAAATAATTAAGGTTGTTTCTGGAAATTTCCAAATATGGATTTTGAAGTATGCTTAATTCACAATTCTATCAGTACTTGTATTCTGCAAGACATGTTAACCAAACATGATTTAAAGGGCTTTCCTTCCATGCTTTTAAATTCTCACATTTAAATTGCAAAGCTAAATATAATAAATATGCCACAGAAGTACTTCAAGTGGCTTGTTTTCTTCATCTTCTCTTGTTAGTTTACTTAAAAAGAGTCAAACAAATAAAATTCTTCACAATCTGTGCACAGTGGCACAAACCTGTAATCCTAGTAACTCAGGAGGCTGAGGCAGGAGGATCACAAATTCAAAGCCAACCTCAATAACTTAGCAAAGTCCTAAGCTATTTAGTGAGAGCCTGCCTCAAAATAAAAAGGGCTGGAGATGTGGCTGATAGTTAAGTCCCCCAGGGTTCAATCTCCAGTACACCTCACCAAATCTTTACAGATACAGAACTCTTTAATATTGCTTGCTATGGCAAATATAATTACTCTTATAAGATGTGTACAGAATAATAAAGTATATTGAGAGTCTGTGATCCAAGCTTAACAGAGATGTTCAGTGTTTGGGGTTATAGTAAGAATGGGAGAAGAACTTGTGTCTGATTTGCTCTTGAAAATATTTTTTGAAATTCTACAATGTGAAAGCATTAAAATAAACCTATGTTAAGTATAT